AATGCTATTATTATTCAGCACTGACATAAATGAACTAATACAAGAGGCAATGGCCCATCAGCTCCCTAAATACTAGACTCATTAGCTGGAGAGGAATATTTTACTATAAATGGCACCAAGTTCATGCAAAGAAAATCTGGTTTCTCTGAACCAGAAGCTCACAGTTATAGAGCATTTGTTCTGGGATTCATGAACCACATCCCGTCTGAACATCCCACCCCGACCCTGTTAGCTGGAGAGGAATATTTTACTATAAATGGCACCAAGTTCATGCAAAGAAAATCTGGTTTCTCTGAACCAGAAGCTCACAGTTATAGAGCATTTGTTCTGGGATTCATGAACCACATCCCGTCTGAACATCCCACCCCGACCCTGTTTAGGCGGAGAGCAGATTTTAGCTCGCCCGCGGAGCCAAATGGACCATGTACGGCTTCAGCTGGCGCTGCGGGATCCGATGCCCCCTGGCGGTTCATTAGATGAGCTTGTGGGGGACTGGCATGGCCGGCTCTCCGCAGCCATCGATGAGATCGCTCCCCGGCGCCCTCTGCGCCCCCGCACTAGGTTGGCCCCCTGGTATACCCAGGGGCTTCGACTTATGAAGCGGGAGCTTAGACGGCTAGAGAGACGGTGGCGGCGAGCTCGTGACGAAGCATCGAGAACATCCTTCAGGACGCTTATGAAATCCTACGAGATGGCGGTCAAAGCTGCTAAGAAGGAATTCTATGCAGCCGCGATTGCGTCCTAGGAGGTCCTCAGGGTGGGAGCTTTTCAGCAGGCGAGCCAGCATCTGCAAAGACACGCAGGTCAGAGGGAGACAGGCCTGATATGGCCGGGACTGATTTAGGGGACCTCCCTGCCACAGTTGATACAGTGAGTGAACTTGAGGCCCCTTGCACGTCCCCGCGGGGTTTAGAATGTTTTGACCCACTCAGCCTGGAGGAAGTTGACAGATTGCTCGTAACTGTGCATCCAACCACATGCTCCTTGGATCCGTGCCCTTCCTGGCTCATTAAGGCGGGCCACGAGGGGTTTCGAGGTGCTGCACGGGAAATTATCAACAAGTCCCTTGAGGAGGGACGGTTCCCTACAGCACTCAAGGAAGCGATGGTCCGCCCTCTCCTGAAAAAACCAACCTTAGACCCGACCGAATTGGTCAACTATCGGCCGGTGTCCAATTTGCCCTATTTGGGCAAATTGATTGAGAGGGCGGTGGCGACACAGCTACAGGGCTTCCTGGATGACGCTTCTATCCTGGATCCA